AATGTGAGGGAAACCTGCTGAGCCAAGGCCAGAAACACCAGCCAGGTTACTTTTGGAGCTGTATATATGGCTGTCGTACTCTCGATTTAGTGTTTAAGGAACTGCAAGCTAAAACAAAGATACACTTAACAGAAACACTATATGTAAATTTAAATGGGGACAAAATGAAGAATGACTTGTCATTGAGCAGTGTAAAAACAGTTAATGAGGATGGTTCAATTCTCTGCTGGTTCTATAATCATGTGTGGAATATGTATGAGTTATTACATGAGCAGATTCAGGCCTGTCAATGTTATGAAACTTATGTTTACAACTTATAAAACACAAACAATATGTACCAGAAAAAACTCTAGCTGCCTTAAAGTAAGGGTTATTAGCTGCTTTGTTTTGTCAAGATGCAGTTTTTAAAAAAGCCTTTGGGCAAAAAAAACTCAAAACAAAACCAAAATGTAGATGAGAATTTGTCCTACCCCCTTTGCTAATTTAGGACATCTTTATCTATGGGAATGTCTCTTCCTGTACATGGAGATAAGATGATGCTGGAAGTGACGTAGGAATTTTCCAGTAATGTCAAAAGATAATTAAATCTTCTTTGCAGCTACATCAGTGCTCTACAGGAGGTGAGGAGGATTTTTAAGAATAGATATAATAGACAGGGCTGTTTTCAGGTGTTTACATCAGTTAATGTTTTAAATTTACAGAACTGCGTCTTACTTTCAGGCCTACCATCTCAGTGCGAGTAGGTTTCCAATAAAGGTTATAAACCTCAGTAATATATGTTCAGATACTTCCTGCTCTGTTGTTCTTTAAGGAAACATGGAGGTACTTGTCTCTGCTGCAATCTAACCTGTAAAAACTGGGTAAAGACCATCAGTTATGTGGTGACACACTTTGCCTGCAGGAAACAAACAAGCTGATACGAGATACCATTTTTATCTTTCATCTAATTTCAGCTTGAAGCCACTCCATGCTAAATATGTACCCCATACTAAGGTGTGATTCAAAGAAGTCTAAAAAGGAACAAACCCTTTTTGCGTCAGAGCACGCTTGTACTCATCCAAATGACACAAAGGCATGGATCAGGTCTGACTGGATTTTAGGCAACGGTAGACTGAAGGTGAGGCATGCCGACCATCTGACTACATTGCAAAGCGGTGAGGTATTGGGTTTTTAGGCGTGGCAGCAACAAGAATACACCTGACACTTTGTTTTTCTACAACTTTCTTTAACTCCTTAGGTCACAGGGGTTTTTCTCTTTGAATTTCAGACAGAGAATAAAAATTGTAAGGGCAACAATGACAACTGTAAATCTAAAATGAAGAGGTGTAGCCCCTTACCTAGGCCTGAAATAGAAGTTACATAGCACCAAATTATAATGAAGGTCATATCAGGGCATTTTACTAGGCAAATTCATATCCAGTAACAGAGCCTTTCGAAAGTATTAATATCCCTTTAACTTTTTTTACAGTTTGTCACCTTAAAACCATAAATGTCAAGATGTTTTATAGGGATTTTATGTGATAAACCGACACAAAGTAGCGGAGGGAAAATACTGAAATACATGTTTTTAAAATAATGTATGGCACAACCTGCCAAGATATGGCTATCAAGGAAACAACAAAACAACAAAAAGACCCCTGGTAGCTCTGAGATCCACAGCTCAAGTAGGAGAGTCTGTTGACAGGACAACTTTCCACAAATCTGCTGTTTGAGCAGGTATGGCAAAAAAAAAATTTGAAACATTATTAAAAATGCTATGTGTGTCAGAGATGTGGCAAATACTGTCCCCTTGGTGGCAGCATCATGTAGTGGGGATGTTAGGAAAGGAAAGTGGAAACTGAAGACTTTCTCAATCGTCTTTGCAAAATAGCTAAATTTTTGCTCAATTGGATGGAAAGCATCTGTGAACATTAAATCTCAGAGTTTCAGTTGAGTTTAGATATGATCTTTGACAGGCCTCTATTTAGCTCCATCTATCTTCCCATAAACTCAAAGATCATATGTAAACTCAACTGAAACTCTTTGATGATTTGATGTTCACAGATGCTTTCCATCCAACTGAGCAAAAATTTAGCTATTTTGCAAAGACAATTGTGAAAAATCTTCAGTTTCCACATGTGAAAGGCTGATAGACACATCCCAAAACACCTCCAGCCAAGTACTGACTCAGGGAGGCCGAATATAAACCACACTTTTCAGATTTTTATTACTGCAATAATATTGGAAAAACACACATCATTAGTCCTCCACTTCTCAGTTATAAATGATTCACATTAAACCACATTTGGACACAAAGGCATGCAGAGAAATACAATCCTAATTGTGGTAGAGTACAATGAAAGTAAAAATGAAAAGTTAGCTAACTGGAGTCACTAACTCTATAAAATATATTCTACTATGTGGGGAAATCTAACTTTTATAAGATCAGAATGTCTTCCATTTATAAATGTGAAGCTTTTAGAAGCATTAGAAGGAGAAAGAGGAATTGGATGCAGAGACTGTCAAAAGCTTTGGAGTAACCGAAACCGGCAGGGCAAGGTGTGAATCAAATCCCTTCACAAAAGCATGGGTGTACTTCAACTTTTAAATGCAAAGGATTTCAGTAACCCTCAGAAAATTTGATAAAATTATCGCAGGAGAAAAGGGGAAGATTTACTAGGTGGAAAAATGGCAACCATAAAAATGAAAGTATTTATTGGTCAGTGAGGTCTGATAGAAAACATCGTCCCAGGTGTCCCAGATCTTTATATTTGGCTTCCAAGGAGTCAGGTTTCCTGATGTTTTAAATTGATCCTGACCAACAGTTCACCAAGTATTCAATCTATTTGATTGATCAGCTACTTCTTCACTCATTTCCTGTTCTGTACCTGACCATTTAAAGAGCATTTTCAGTTTTCTCTTTTGTTTTGCAGGTCAGGTGAAAGAACAGAACTAAAAACTAGTGAAAAATCAGCCAAGGTCCAAAGAAAAATGTTGAAAGTCCTCCAGAAAGGCTGAGGAACTGTTATTGATCAGGAACAGGTTAGAAGATGACAAAAAATTCTGGGTCAATGAAATGAAAAAATACCAAAACTAGGGGTGGCTTAAAACTTTTTCTGCAGTAAGACAATTTAATACAATGTATTTTAGGCCTACATTGTAACAGATAAAACCTCACTGATGTTTTGAACAGGATCTGTTTTTGTATATATTGAGTTTGTTTCAGTTTGTTTGTTCTTAGACTTTTTACATGTTTCAAAGACCTGACTCATTATGCCTGATGATAAAGTACAGAACATAGGCTCCCTCTTTTCAGGAATAAAACATTTCTATTTCTTACAGCTGTAAAACTGGCCCCTAAACTATGTGATAGATGTCTAGGTGCCAAGTTCTTCACAAAAAAAAAATTTACTTTTAATGTAGTTCCACTTAAAGTGCGTTATCTCTTTGTCTCATCAGTGGTATGAAGTTGGACCAGCATCATACCAGACCTACATATTTATTTAAACAACCTTATCTAAAGTGTTAAGTTAAGTATCACTTCACTATGTTTTGCTTTCCAGTAGTTCCCATTAGGCACCAGCATCATGATGTGCTCAAACATTCATGTTTTTGGTGATCTCAGCTTATTAGTTTGCCAAAGCAGTTAATCTTACACCATTTAAATTCATCATACTAATTATTTGTTTCAAGTACCACAGCTAGGAGCCTGAGCACCACAGTGGTATCAGTAAAGAAAGGTTATAACAGTGTTTCTAGACTAAATCAACTACCAAAGTATGACATCATTTTTCTGGTTGATATATGTTTATTTTTTTTACAATTTTCTGAGATGTTAATAAAAAAAATATGGGTCACTGCAATCTGGAAGTTATTGGTAACATACCTTTATTTAAAAAACAAAAAACATTGGTATTTGCACAATGTATTTCCATTTACCATTCCTTATACAAGGAGTGTGGTGCCTTTACAAACCACAGAGTACGAACAAAATGTGAAACATTGTGTTACCGGTTTGTTTAATGACGTCTGTACTTTCCAAAACAGCTCTAACTAGATGGTCAGGTGAACACTGGGCCGACTGGTTGTAAAACCAACAGTCAGTCCTCGCTGTGAGTCATGAACACAGTGCTTCAAACATGGCTGCAAACATAGTGACCAGTTTAAAATGGAGTCTCAGTGAAAACAAACCCTGAATAAAACAAACAAACCTGCCTGTAATAATGCTTTAATTTAGTTTGTAATTAAAGTGTTTCTGATTATATTGACAGTTTATTCAGCTGTTTTCTGATTTATATCACATGGTGGTGACTATCAAATAGGCAATTATTTTATTTAAAGTAAGTTAAGTCGCCCAAGCAAAAAGCTTTTTTTCATTCCATTTAGTCTGGTTCTTTTTATTTTTTACAGTCAAACAACAAATTTAACCTTTTATCATTACAAAGATAGCATTGTGATCTTGCATCTGCATAGTCTGGACTCAAACGTGTAGAAGTGAGATAAAATTAGCTTGTATTGTCTTTACAAAGGCCATTGCATGAATCTGAAAGCGGCATCTGCTTCCAGAAATGCAACTTTCTACCTACCATTTCCTCACAATAGAACCAGTTTAATCCATGTTAGCATGTTAGTTAATATCTCCTTGAGATGAACTTAAATTTATAATTGTGTCTAAATCTAAAATGTTTAAGTAAAATCTCAAGGGAAAGTGAAACTAATCATAAATGTTATTACTTTTTAGCATGAAAAACGCCCTTTTTTGTAAGAACATCAAGAGAAATTGTAATGTAATGTCCCCAGTTACACAGACTTCATACATATGACAGTTTGCTTGTCACTAAAAAATAATCTGTAGCTACCTCAGTCTCCCATGATTCAACCACAAAATGATTTTTTCAGTTGCATCTGTGAGCCCATCTATTTTTTTTTTTTTGAAACATATGTTTTCAGCACTAGTGGCCTTTATTTTGTATTTTCTTTGACAGTAGGCAGACAGGAAAGAGGGGGAGACATTTGACAAATGTCACCAGGTCCAGGACTCGAACCTGGGACAGCCAGGACCTTTGAGGACAATAGCCTCTGCACATGGTCACATGCTTTCACCCCTGCACCATTAGCGCCGGGCCCAAGCCCATCCATTTTACCTCAGGGAACAGGAATTAAGCAAACAGTAACTTGGTCACTTTCAAACTAAAATAATGTCAAAAGTTTGGATACACTGAAAATCAAGGTAGCTTTACCAAAACCTGGATACAGATGAATTACTTCTCAATATACTCTGCGATTTAAAAAGTTTAATACTTTAGGGTGTAATATTTTTTACATTCCAGCTTTAGTCTCATTGCTTCCTGTTCCTAAATCGGTCATCATTTGTAACAAATCCATCAAGGAAATGCATTCTCTTGGGAAATCCCAAACAGAGTATCACTCGGACCTCATTACTGCAGGTTTACATCTTTTATTTGCCAAATCTGGTCAACATACCTTTGATTTTTCAAGCAAAATCTCAAACTTCTCTTTAACCGTTTGCTGAGAAGTTAATTATTCATCTCGTCTGTGTTTTTATTTATTTATTCTAAAAGGTCTAGAAATCTGTAACAGCGGGTTTTATGTTGTGTGCGTGTAAGAAAATCCGTCCAGAATTAAATTTTATTGTAAAAAAAAAAAAAAAAAACATTTCCATGATCTGGTTAGGTTACAGAGGCTTCAGTTTCTATATAAATCACTCTGACAGTGCTGATGTTGACCTCCAGTTACCTGGAGGATGAAACTCCTCCAGTTACCTGGAGGATGAAACTCCTCCATGGAATGAAGAACAACCAGAATGTGAAGCAGCGTAATTCTTTAGGCAGACCGGCTGCTAAACATACAGTAATGTCCACCTTAACAAGACAGCAAAGCTTCTTTTCAATAGAATCAATGGAAAGTTCGTTTGAAAGTTTTTTTTAAATAAAAGAAGTCAGGTGTGCTTTTGTTTTCTGTCCCATTTTTTTCTGACACCTCTAAATAAGATCTGCTTCATCAAACTGCCTTAAGAAATCACCCAATTCATAATCAGAGACCGTGTATGTTATCTAATCTCCATATAAATGAAATTGTTCTGTGGAGGCCTCAGGAGGCTGTTAGAGCACATTAGTGAACATAACCACAAAGAAGAACGAACTCAGCGCACAGGTCGAGGACAAGGTTATGGAGCTCTCTAAAGCTGAGGTATGTTATAAAACAAGATCCCAAGCTTCCCAAAAAAATTTGAAAAACAGGTAGAAGAAGGTGCTCCAGTTTAAAAATAGGATGTGAGACTGGGATGGACCATCTCAAGCAGGATAATGATCCTGAACACACAACCAGAGCTACAGTAGAAAGGTTTAGATAAAAGCGTGTTGTTGTTTATCACTGTTAATGATGAACTTAATGAAGACTCAAAGCTAATTGTTTGTTAGTTAGTTTTAAGTAGTGTCCAAACTTTCTTATGATGATATCTGTGTAGTTCATTATCACAGGCTTTGTTGTTGGTTTATACATAAGCTTTTTAACAGCTAGTACAAAGTGTCTGAATGTATAAAAAAAGACTGAAATAGTTTACGGTCTCTGCCTCCATTTCCATCATTCATTGTGTTTTGTTTTTTTCTACATGCTTCTGTTGATTTCCTGCACAATGCTGAACTGATCTAATTGTATTTTTGCATTCCATTGCATAACCTGCTGTACATTCATTTACAGGAAATCATTTTTGTCTTTCTCTCTTTTTCCCCTTTTCCACTATTTCCCTGTATCTCCATCGTTGTTTCTTCAAACCTAATAGGTCAAGCGCTTCAGTGCTACAAATGTGATCTTGGCTTCTGGAACTTGTGCATAACCTCAAATACCATATGTGAAACCGATGAGCGCTGCTTCAATGGTGTTGGGGTATCAGGTCAGTCAGTCACATCAAAAACATCTCACCAGGAGATAATCTCTTTATTCAGGTCTGCATTCCTCCACTGAACTTTCATGAAGTCAGATGACTAGGGAAGGGTTAGGGTTTTTCTTTCTTAGCAAATGTGATGCAGTTTAAAGTAGAACTGAGACAGCTGAGGAATAACTACAAAAATAAATATGTCTATTGCCGTACACTGGAAGGTTTTCTTTCACACCTGGTTACAGCGCAGTGCCTTTAAAAAGCTGAATCATCCTCCAAATTAAGCTTACAGGTTTTCTCAGAAGTTTACCTACACTCATCATAACAAATTGTTTTTTTCCAGCCTAAATAGCACGTGATACACAAACTAGTTCTTGAGAGTGGTGCCGGTATGCCGCATCCTGTGTGTAGTCCTCAATACTTAACAGTTAAAATGAACTACAAAAGACTTAATTGCGTAAAAGAAGGCCCCATATTAAACACTTTTTATCTAAAAGGTTAAAATTGATTGACTGATTAACAGTAGCTGTAGACAATAACATTTTTGGGTTTTGCTCTTTACAGGTGTCTTGAAAATCAAAATGAAGGGCTGTCTTAAAGTGTCAGAATGCAACAAGACTGAAGATATTAACTTTCCCAAAACCTCCAACACCACCATCTACTCCATGACTAAGACGTGCTGCAACACAGACCTGTGCAACGTGGCACCAGGCCTGCCCGGAGCTTCTGGGCTGAGCCTGGCCGCTGTCACCATTTCCTCTTTGCTTGCAGCCAACTTCATGATTTAATATACTGGCAAAAGTGCATACAACTGTATTGTACTATTGTGCTTACTCTAGGACTATTCTTTTTTCTGCATGTTTCAAAGTGTACTGTAAATTAGTTTTTGTATCATTTACTGTAAGTCCATCATGTATTTCTGCTTCCAGTTAAATTCAATTCATATGGGCTTAGGGTATTTACAAGATGGGTGTTTTCTGCAATCAGTTTAAAGCTTTCTTAGCTGGTGATTGGCAATGAAAACAGCTATCTTGTTTCTTTCCATGTATAAAAAAGAACATATCAGTCAACATGCCACCTATATTCTAAGTGTTTTAAAAGGAAAGCTGGGTTTTTTGGAAACAAACAGAAAAAGACATGATCAGCAGTTAGCTTAGCTAACCGTGCTAAGCTAAGTAAAGCTACACTAAGCTAAGCTAAACTAAATTAAGCTAAAGGCACCGTCATATTTTCCATAAAGTGCTATATGTGTATATGGCTAGTAGTTTTGAGTATAATAAGCCTTGGAAAGCATTTCTACTTCTGCTGATTTTAAAATCTAATTTTTGCTACAAGCCGTAGAACAAAAAAGGCTGGGTTTGCTCTTAAAACATTTCTTTTTGTATTTCTTGGTGTTTTTTGTCAAGGTCAATCAACTTTTTCGGCTTTCTTTAAAAAAACAAAAACAAACAAAAAAAAAAACACATAACTCCATCAGTTTTATTTAACTTCTTGATGTTTGTGTCAAATCTATATATTTACAACACTTAACTGAAAAATCATCAAAAACTATGGGATGAAGTTGAGTTATTTTTTTATTGCTGTGTACGGCACATTTGGGCTCGGTGTGATTTAAAGTGCACTACTTACAGATACTGAGGTATAATTGAGATTAATTTGTTATTTACCCTTCACGTAATCTTTTTTGTTTTGCATAAATGTTCGATACCTTCCCTTCTCTGGACGTTTCCTCAATATTTTCGAAACCAGAAATGTTTGTCTGACTTTAAGGTGAAATGTTTCTTTGTAAAATTGGTTTTGACAGAGATGAATAAAAGTGGGAAATGGGAAAGAGTAACCTGTGTGGAATTACTGACGCTACTGGCTGTTTTCTGAACAACGTAACTTTGGTGCCATTGTCAGATCAACCATTTCTTCTGGTGTGACTTAAATACATATCTATGTGGAATATGTACTTCAAATGAATATAAAATCCATCATTACTTAACACTATGATTAAAAATTGAGTCAGGACATAACCAGGCATAGAAAAAGAAGATTCTATATTAGAAAGTGGGTAAGTGACGTATTGTCTCTAAAGAAATATTAAATCAAAACACAAAATCCACAGTTGTTTATGAACACACTATTGAATTATTTTGGAGATTTTAGTTACCTTTCTGTGGTTTAGTCTGGTACAAAGAGCCAGAGTCTGTAGAAAGCCTATAGATGGAAATTCTCCTTAAAAAACTCTTAGAAACAGAGGATTTCTCTGGTATCAGAGTTCACAGCAACCACCAGAACATCTTACCCAGCACAAAAACAAAGTAAAATAAATCGATTTATTTAAAGATAGAGCCATTTTTTTCTACTTTGAAACAAATATGATGAAAAATATTATACTTGTCATTACTGAAATTTTCATGATCAAATTTAACAAATTCGGACAGAACACAGCATCTCGCTTTTATTTGAAAGCGTTATATAACTTTGATGTATGTTTCCTAACTTTACCTCTGAGTTTATTTCATCGTTTACTGGTAAGATGTAAAAAAAGAAAATCAATCCATCTCTTAGGATGAGAGGTGAAATGTCTTCAAAAAAGAAGAGAAGAAATCAAATTCCTTCTATTTGAGCACTTTGGATTATCCTGTCCTGAAAGGAATCCTTTCCTTAGTTTTTTTACGGCAAACATTTTGTAACAAAAAACATAAATGCTTTTTGAAAACAGGCAAATGGCACTCTTTAGATTCCTTAGAAGTATTTTAGTCACTGCATACGTCTGTTTGTGAGGATCAACACCCCTTTGGCTGCTCCCTTATTAAAACACAGAGTACATTATCCTCCCACTTCCTGCCCTTCAGCTTTTGTAGTACATAAATTGATGCATTCACCAGCATTCTCATCACTTCTGATCTCCTGGAGCATCTGATCACCTTGGACACAAGGACCTTCCGGCCATAAGGGACAAGACCTTTTTCTTTAACTTTGATCCAAAACAGAAAAGCCATATCAGCAGAGATGGGAAAGCTCTTTTTGGGTTTCGTTGTTGCTGTTGCATCCCTTGCTTTGGGTAAGAAGGATTTGTGACAGAGTGAACTGCAATATTCCCAATTAAATACATTTTACCGGCAATATCAACTTTTATGATAATCATTTTGAAAAGCATTTTCCAAATATCTTTGTTTTAAGTGATATGATTAATGTTTGAAAAATAGGAGTCTAATTTTCTTCAAAAGATAAC